CCTCCCACCCCCATTCCTTCTTCATCAGTCTCTCTAACATGCCTCCTTCATTTCTGACCCAGACCCTCCCTGCTCAGTCCTCCTTTTCTGGTCCCATCTCCTCTCCCCAACTCTGGCATTCCCTAACACAAGCCTCCTCCTCCTCCTAGAACATCCAGAGCCACTGTGGTTAGAAGCACCTCCTTGGGGCTCTAGTCAACCTCCCTAGTTAACCTCACACAAATGGGTTACCCCTCCCTTTAAAATCCCTCTAAAATGATACTAAACAATCTTAAAAAGAATACTACCCACAAAGACAGGAAGAATGGGAGAGATGACAATAGCAGGTGAAAGAGATCACTTTGGAAGATGAATAACAAATGGCAGATTAAAGGAAGTTATAATCTACTCGAGAGGTGAATCCATTTGTTCTGGAGAATGCTTGAGAGACTCAGTGCCTAGATACACAGGAATCTCAAAGATGGGGAGGCAGGCGTGGCAGGTGTTCCCAGCTGTCTATCCAATAGCCTGTCACCCTTCCTTCTTGCCAAGAGACCTTGATTTTATCCAGGGCCATGATGTACTCTGCTGAAATAAAAACTCACTCCCCAGACTCTCTTGCCACTAGAGGCAGCCCCTCAATCCAGTTCTGGCCAAGGAAAGTCCACTTGGAGGACTTCCAGGAAAGCTAAAGAGCTTTCCTGAATTAAAGGAGCAAAGGGGAGCAAGCAAAAGCCTTCTTCCCTCTGCCTTTCCACATTCCTCCTGCCCCAATAGTGATCAAAGTACCTAGCAGTGCCACAAGTGTGAAAGCCACACGCCGAAGGGAAAGAGAAGGAGATGGGACATCTGTGTCACCTTGGAGCTGCTGCATCAGCCTGGGCAGCAACCACTAGATTTCTTGTTGTTGTTGTTATTTTCAAATTATCTGGTTAAACCACTGTGGTCACATTTTGTCAGGGACAGTTGAATACAATCCTTAATCCATAAAATGGTTGTTGCTGGAACGTCGTCTACAGAGGAGTTAGCCAGGTTCCTTCTCCTATCCCACAGAGTCAGACAAAAAGATGCTTCCTCCTTCCTCCTCAAAGACCAGAAGGTTATTTTCTAGAGAATTTATCTAAGAGACTTTGCACTGGGACAGGGAATATGAAGCCCATCAGAGAAGTACATATAGGCATGAGGCTGAAATGGGAGGATCAAATGGAAACCAACACTCTACCCGCTTGGGCCACCAGCCACCTTCCCCAGCCTCGACAGATTCTTACATTCCAGATCCATCAGGAAAAACAGTAGCGATGGGGTTTGAGTTAGGGCTGGGCATAGGGTAGGGTTCAGGTTCCTATAAATAGCTGAACCCAAATGATGGTGAGCTGTGTTACGATGACACAAGCAGGCTCACAAACGAGACACGTGCTGAAATAATCCTCTTCCAAGAGGTGAGTGTGGTAGACAGAATAATGGCCCTCAAAGGTGGGCCATTATTGGCCCAAAGGTGGGCCAATAATGGCATCTCCACCTGTGAACGTTCCTCACGTGGCAAAAGGGACTTTGCAGATGAGAATACAAATTGTAAGAAAGGGAGATTATCCTGGACTATCTGGGTAGGCCCAATGTCATCCCAAGGGACTTCCTTTAAGAAGGAGGCAGAGGCCGGGCGCGGTGGCTCAAGC